CAACACACACACACACTGACTGCACCCCAACACACACACACTGCACCCCAACACACACTGCACACCAACATGCATGCACACACAGAATCCACACCAACACACACACACAGACTGCATACCAACACACACACACACACAGACTACACACCAACACACACACAGGCTACACACCAACACACACACACAGAAACACCAAACACACACACACAGACTGCACACCACAACTGCATACCAACACACACCCACACCTCACATGAACACGCCAAGGAATGCACACTCAGCACACGTGCATGTCACGCAGAGTGGAAGGCACGCACACTCAGCATGCACACACACACACACACACACACCCCGCCTGCGTACATGCAAAATGCACCCCCCCACTGCATACACTCTGGCCTGTGAATGCATACATACGGTGTGCATGCTCACAGGCTCACCGACACCACGCTGCATGTGTACAGCGTGCATCCACAGTGCTTGGACAGAGACGCAGCGTGCACCCAGGCACTGAGTGCACCCACACGGGGTGCACACGTGGTGCGTGCACATGCAGCGTGCTCCACACAAACTGACATGCCAGCGTGTGTGCACCCAGACGTGCACATACCGTGTGCACCTCGTGGGTGTGCTGGACTTGTCCCTCACAGCTGGAGACCATCTGATGTCCTGCAGGAGGCCAGGGTCTGCCTCATTGATGTCAACCTCTGTAACAGCAGCCGGTGGCATAGAGGGGCCACCCACACTCACAGCGCATGTGCTGGCTGTCCCCAGGGTGGCATCGACACCAGCCGGGTAGGAGCCTGCCACAAATCAACCCCAGCAGCACAGGCAGCCCTGCACAACTGCCCAAACACCCCCCAGCACGTGCTTTGCCTGGCAAGTCATCCTCCCAGCGCAGGGCTCCCACCGCTGCTGGGGCTCCCTTCCCCTTCCCCATCTGCAGGTCCTTGCCAGTGCCCCCCCTTGTCCCAGAGGCCTGGGACTCTGCACAAAAAGCCCACCCAGTGCTCTTGGCAGCTCACAGGTCCAGATCCAGCCCTGGAACATCCATCTTCCCGGCACCCAGGATCCCTGTGCAGAGATGAGAGCCCTACCTTACAGGCCCATGGCCCCCTCCCAGACAAGGTTCTGTAGGCTGCAGCACCTGAGCAGAGCCTTTCTGCGCAGTGAGCGCAGCTCTGGTGGGTGCGGTGAGAGGGAAGGACCCAGCCACAGTGCTGCAGCAGCCACCCAACACCACCTTCATCCTCTCTCCTGCACTGCAGGGTGACAGCGGTGGCCCTCTCATGTGCGAAGGTGACAGTGCTGACTACTTCTGGCTTGTTGGAGTGACCAGCTTGGGGAACAGCTGTGCGAGAGCAAACCAGCAGGGACAGCAGCAGCACCCAGGAAACAGCATCAGTAACACCATGGAAGTCTGAGATGACCCAGCTACCAGCACCTGAAACACCAAACCTGTTCACAGATGTGGCAAACCCTGGGAGCAAGGGGGGGAAATAACCGGGGGGAGGTCCTTTGTTTGGGTGGAGAAAGGGAGGAGTAGAGGAAGAGGAGGGGGATGTACAAGCCTGGAAAATGGAGAGAAGGGGGGACGGAGGAGCCGGTCACACACAAGCAGACTGGTGGTCAGTTTGTTTGTTCGCCTGAGCCCTGCACCTAGTCACCACGATCCGTCCTGCCTTCTTCATGAGAGAGATTCCAAATCCTTTCCTGTGTGGCCCTACTCTGTACCTGGTGGGGGGCGGGTCCAGAGGCCTGGCTGCTAGCAATGGCAGAAGGGAACACAGGTCGTGGGGACCCAGCAGTCGGCAACCCCCGAGTGTCCTGGGCCGGCTACTGGTGGGAGCGCTGTGTGCGTGTTCACTACTTGCGAACGTTAAGCTGGGCTAGCTCACAAGCAAGAGGAGATACCGATCTGGAAAGACCCAAGGTCTGTGCCAGTTACTGGGTAAGTAGATTGACATCCAGCCATGGATTTTAATGGAACTTAATTCCCATGCTAATATTCAAGGGACCCATGAACATGCTGTGCTTGCAAATCTAGGAGGTGATATGTGCGTGTACGTCTCACTGCTGAACGTCAGTCCTGATCAGCTGGAGAGGAAGACAAAGACCAGGCTGTCCTTTTGTTAAGTGGGTGCTGGTACAGGTACTGCTCTGTCTGTTTGCCATTCACGCCAGCGAGGATTGCGTGCATGTTCTTGAATGTGATCTGACTCTTTGGAAGACAAACGAAGTCTCTTGCACCTGCGCATGGGAACAGCAGCCACATCCATTGGACCGAGGTGGGAGAAACCTCCTGGGAATGAGAGTCTTCCCAATTCAGCTCCAGCTCTTCCACGAGAAGACTTTTTCTGATAGGAACACGGGCTGGATACAGCATGCACAGCGCGCGCACACACATGCACATACAGAGTACATGGACAAAAGTCCTGTGTGCACACACTGCATTCACGCACAGAGTGCATGTGCACACACGGTGCGTGGAGGCACACAGGTGCAATGCACGCTCAGAGTGTGTGCACACCCATGCTCCAAAACACACATCTTGAACAGAATGCAATGCGCAGTGTTCACATACACACGGAGTGCATGCAGATGCACACCTGGGCAGCACGCACACACACACAGTGTACGCATGCACACACAAAATTTACACACACAGGCAGTGCACGCACACCCTGCAGTATGCATGCATGCAGAATGCCCCACACCCTGCATGCATGCACACAGTGTGCACCCACCCATCCACCCACGTGCGTGCCCACAGCATGCACCCAGTGATGCATGCACGTGGAGAATGCACCTCCCGCAGGTGCACGTGCAAACTCACTTGTCCATGCACACACACATGCACATATGCAGGCATACACACGCACACACACAGAGGAAAGTGTTGCACCCACACAAAGACATTGCCCATCAACACCTCATCAATGCTCACAGGGACACAGCCTGTCACACCCACCCCTGCCCATCCCCGCCTGTGCCTGGCCTGCACTTGTGTGTGCAGCGTGTGCTCCCACAGCACTGCAGAAGTCCCTTGAGCCTCTCCTTCCATGCCCAGCCCCGTGGACACTGTTCATCCGTGTGTCCTACCTGTGCCCGCTGGCGCCTGCACAGGTTGGGGCAGTCACACCGTGCCTTGCTGTTTCCTGCAGCCGTTACCTGCACACAGTGCACATGGTCCCGCAGCTCCTGTCGTGTTCCTTTGCCTGCTCTCTGAAACTCTGCCCCCACGCTGCGCTACCCCCGAGCTCAGAGGCCCAGCCGCCCTCCTCGGTGTCCTGACTGCCAGCCCCCAACACTGCACAGCAAGCACTGCCATGCCGGAGGACCAAAGTGTGCGCCATGAATTATGCAGCAGTTTCACCTCCTGCTGCAGCACCAGCCTCCTTGCTCTGCCTCTTGGCCCTGAATAATTGATGGCAGCGAGCGCAGCAGCAGCAGCCCCAGCACCCTTCTTCCAGACCACCGCCACTGTGCCTGTGCTCGTACACCACCTCTGGTCTTGCCTTACTCTTATTTTGGATAAAGTGCACAAATGGAGGTCTTCGGGACTTCAGACCTCAGTTCCTTTCTGTGTCTGTCTTCTGAGCTTTCCCTGGTTTTTAAAAGCAGACATAGCAATATGGTACAGCCTTCCCAGGGTGCAGAATCTCCTCTTTTCCTCCTCATTCTCCTTATCACAGAATCACAGAATCGCAAGGGTTGGAAGGGACCTCGGGAGATCATCTAGTCCAACCCCACCAGAGAATTGCTGTTGCTCTTTGCACTGTCCCTTCCTTTGGTTACAGGTTGCTGATCTGCGGGATACGGGCTCGGCTCCCGTGCTCAGGTACAACCTTT